ACGTCTGTTATGCTGTGAGGTCTTTGGTATGATATTGACTCATTCATTGGCATCTGAGAGAGGTTTGGGGAATTCAGCAAGCTTTCAACAATCCAGTTTGAGAGATTAAACAGAATTATGGCTCACTCAGGTTTGTCCTAATTTTATTAGATTTTCACTATTTCTAATTGCATAAACATATGCAGCCAAGTATACAGATGGGGACTGGGAAGATGTACAAGGACACTCAAGCTCCCTAGTCAGCTAATTGGTGGACTAAGTAATAGGGCACTTGGAAAGACTGATAATTTTTTTCAGAACATTTCAGGGTAAAATCCTGTCCCCATTAAAACTGAAGCAATCAAGAGAGGCAAGATTTTAGCTGTAGATATTGTTGGAATTGGAGAAAGAGATGAGAGGATCTATGTGATGCAGAAAATATCCAGGATGAAGGATGTTGCTTTTGGCAAGATTCGCTACTTATTTGTCTTAGCCATAGGAAAAAGATAGAACATCTCAATAACATAGAACAACTGGTCTGATCCATATGGTGACATGAGAAGGCTTTTGATCAGGGCCAAACATAAGATAAGCAATGGTTAACAATTTCAGATATTTCCAGGGCAAACAAGAAGTCATTTTGAGTGAGCATTGTTATTGGTAGCAAATGCCAAGCTGTAATGTTTTCAGAAATATTCTATATTTTCTTTTGGAAAATAAATCTGTTTTTTCTATGGCTAGGAGAGTTCTTGGGCCACAAGTCACAGTATGCTATGGCTATTTCTGGTCAAATGATACCAGCTGAGGTACTCCATGGCTGTTTTTATGAGTACTTTCACATGAAATAATATTGCTGTCCATATTTGTTAAGGGAATGCTGCTGTTGACTTATTTGCTACAATCAAGACAGAAGGAGGCATGAGGGAAAAGTCTACATGCAGATTTTTGCTATTGGACATACTTCATCCCTGATATGGCATCTGCACTATGAAATTCACCCTGAATGAATGGGTGTTCAGGTGTCTTCACCTCCAGGAGACAGGACACAACTCCCAGGCTGAATTAGCCCCAGCTGGATAGTTTTAAAATCTCCATGAGTAATAGACCTGGAAGACTTTTCTCTCACACTGGCCTGGGCTGAACACTTAGTGGGTGAGTATTTTTTTTTTTTTCTTATGAAAAGTAGAATAAACCAAACAAGTTTGTCACATATTTGGACCTGAACTTCTCAGCAAAGTTTTGTAAAGTTCCCTAAAAAGTAAGAATATTTAGTAAATAGATCATGAAATATTTCCTAACAAGGGATTTAATAATGTTGGGATGTAGTTTTCTGTTAATGACTTTATTTTCTTCTTCCTCCTGTTCAGGCAGTAACATGAACTCTGACCACATCACCGGTGTGAAATTGCTGATTAACCTTTTGACTCTGACAATTGGGACTTCTCTCAACACCAACTGGTAATGCAAAAGACCATTAGTAGTTAATATTGGGACATCCCAGATCCAGATGTCAAAAGGTTAATGAAAAATCAAGTATCCTGCTTTTACTGGGCAACTTGGAAATGTTCCCCCCAAACATTTCATTTTTTGTGATAAATAAGCCAGACTGCTCGAGCTGAGAAAGACGGGTGTTTTGCTAATGTGTACAGCTGTTAATTGAAAAAGATTTTGTTATGCTTGTTCTTCTGGACATAGATAAAAGAGAGATTTGTTGGCGAACTTTAGTTGGTCTTGAACACCCCTTTGTCCAAATACACTACTTAATAATAACGCTTTGTTCTTTCTATAACAGCCATGGAGAGATTTTGAGTGGAATACTCATTTTCTTTAAATCATATCTGCCAGTAATCATTCCTGGCTTAAGACCAGCTGCCATTTATGTGTTTTATGAAAATATAACACCAGTTTTGCGCTCAAAACTATTCTTTTTTAGGTAAAAGCTTCAGCATAAGCTGGTTCCCCATATCTACCATAAATGCTATTTATCACAGATTTTGGTCTTTAAAACAGAAAGATAATGTTAAAACATTTTGATTACCCTTTCCTTACCGCTATCATTCACAAACCATCTTTTCTAATTATGGTATTAAGACATTTACATAACCGGGAAAAGGGTCCTTTAACTACATTTCTATTATGTTTGGCACTTGTGTGAAAGGATATTATATTCATGTGCATTAGAGATTGCTTATAAAAGATCAAGACAATAATAGCAGATCAGACGATAAAGGTTCCCTTTTCTCCTCCCAGACAGGCTGTCTCTGACAGAAGAATACAGTTCATCAAAAGTGTCTGCAGGTTGTCAAACTCAGTGAGATTTGGGGACACTCGGAGGCTGTCATGGCCAACAAGATTTTCTGTAGGGTTCTGCCATCATTCACCCTCAGGAAATAATCACTCACTACATTCTGCATGCTCTCATGATAGAGCTCTATTTGAGAGAAAAGAGCCATTTTATCAAAGGACAATATATCCCTTCTCTTGGTCCATGCAGCTTCCATTATCAGACCATAATAAATCATATTTATGTTCTCAGTTAATAAGACTGATTACAATGCAGGTTACAGGCATGGGAAAAGCAAAGCAGGTGAAAAGATGTTTTAATGAAAATATGATAAGCAAACAGCTTCTTGTGAACATTTCAGGCTGTTATTTGTAATGATCACAGGCAATTTTTGATACATCTTCTTTAGCAATGGTTTAAGCTGCATAAATTGGCTTGCCACTTTATACGCTGAAATAGGAAGAATCCCAGTGTCCTTCTTATGTTGTCTAGAATCATTATATACATTATAAGCATAAAATGAGTTTAATGTATGTGCTTTGAAAAGAAGGGGAAAACAGAAAATCAGGGAAGACTGATTTTAATGCTGCTCAAAATGATTTTGAAATTTTCTACTCATCTTTGTTACTAACGGTACATTTTCCATGAAATTTAGGAATGACATGTACTGCTTTCATCTCCCTAAAATTAATATACTGCTCTCTCTGTTTTTCTCAATTTCTTCAAAGTTCTTTTTAAAGCACTGTGCAAAGAGACAGAGAGAAATTCTCCACTCGATGTATGAGCATATCTACTATTAATGCTGAAGGGAGTTAAGTGTGTGCTTCTACAGGAGAATATACCCCAGTGTTCAATACTGAAAGGTACCCTATAAAAAGGTGCAAGCATGTTTTGCTCCAACACAGGTGATGCATTCGAGAACCACCTTCCTTAGAATTCTTTAAGTGATTAAGATCTTTTTTGGTAAGGTGAGGGTTCTGATATCATTTCAGCATATAACTGCATGGAGGGATGTGGCTGATGGACTGTCTTGCTCGCATCTTGTGAAAAGTCTTCTTTTGTTATTGTTATGTTCAGCATTTTACTTTCAAGATGAAGTTAGAAATTTAAGGAATAATCTCCTTCTGCTGATATATAATTTTGACCAAGTCTCTGAAATTCTACAGCACTTACAGAACACTGGTAACAAAGACTCCCCAGTGTTGTATGTCTGAAGAACCTATTCTGGGTCACTGATATTTCCCAAAAATCAGTCTTAAACAACTTTTAAAGCTTTGTAATTGGCCTGGCCCTGGAGAATGGCCACGAAATTCCCTTAACCCTTTTAGGGCACTTCAACAAGAGAAGTGCTCACACAAGAAACAGCAAACTGCTCTTCAAAGGCAATATCCTGATATGTCAACAGACGTAGATAATGTATTTCATGATGGAACTGCTTGATACAGAGAAAGAACATGTTGTAACTGCCTTCACTGTGAAAGGGGTTTAAAAATGCTGCCTGCCAACTCCACAAAAACCAGAGCTGCTATTTCAGTTAAAGGCCAGTGGATTGTATTTTTCACGTCAGTTTTCACTAACCTCAAACATCACTGTTATGACAGACTGTCATCCAACCAAGCCAGCACTCCAGTGCCATTCAAGCAGGCAGGAAGAAAGCAAACACGAAGGAAACTTAAAAGTCCAATTAGTAAGTGGGGGGTGCATGTGAGCAAACTACTTTTGTGTAATGATACTGATTACTGAAAATGAAACACTTAAAAGAAAATAAACAAAAAGCAGTGCTTTCTGAGCCAGTGGTGTTTTCTTGGCTGGCAATTGCTCTTTGTTCTGTTTCATGACACCAGCCTCAATGGTTGAAGGGTTGTTCTGGGCCAGATGTCAATCACAATGTCTGACATAAACAAAAATAGCTAAAAAGGCATGCTGGCATCTTCCTTTTGTTTTCCCATTAGCTCCATTTTTCTTTTCATAGGCTGACAAAAAATTACTGCCTCCAAGTGAATTCAGTAATGTCACTATATATCTAATATCTAGGAGACCTTTTGTTTTAGCTTTACTGGGCTTAACCACAAAAGACACTTGACATTGACAAAGAATCTGTCAAACATACAATGATCAGTGCAATGAAATCTCTCATGACAGAAGGGCTCTATTCTGCTTCCCCCCTGCCTCCAGCAGCAGCCTGTCTGAGCAAAATATGCTGAAGCACATGTAGCAGCTGAACCATTACAGAGCAGGCCAGAAGCTGAGATGTGTCTTGTTTAAATTGTCATAGCATATTAGTATAATTAAAACCGCCAAGAGAGTAGAAAAGATAGATGGAAATGTTACATTACTTGTTTCTAGAGATTAACCTCGAGCCAGAACTGAAATAGACACATTTTGGATTTCTTTGAGCTCTGATATGGAAGAAAAGAAGCCCAGGAGTACGTCTCTTGAAGTGTGAGACATGAAGTCATAGTTCCTGTATTTACACGATAAAGCAGAAATAGTGTTTCAGAGAGACACTCTGTTTTCTCTGTGATTACAGCTCCTGCTGTGGCTGTGCTCTGCAAAGCAGTTGTATCATCTCTCAGCTACCTCCTTTTCACTCTCCTTTGCCTTTATGCCTGCAAGGTCTTGACAACCCATGGGCCTGCTGATGAGCTGGTGTCACCACTCTCCACTCCCTCTCCATCTGTGAGCTTGGCTGGTGCTCCAGGTGCCCAACCCCAAAGCAGTGCACGGTGTCCTAGCTGGTGGCTGAGGAGGCCACAGATCGGGCTTCGGGGCTCAGCAATGCCCAGCAGCTGTGGTCAGGAAGTCCTCCTGCACAGGCTTCATCCCTGGGCATGCTCATGCCTGGGGAAGAGAAGCACACACCTACTGGAGGCAGGCACAGGTAGACCAGCCCTGTGACCACTCCTGAATTGCACAGGGGAGCCAGACAGGGAGCTGGGAGTCAGACTCAGATTGTCTTCACCCAGGCTGTTTCCGATTCCCTTTGCAAAGGAAGATGTTTGAACAATGGCTTCAATTTAAAATCTGACCTTTCAAATGCCAAGCTCCTTGCCTGCTTCTGTGGTGAATGTGCAGATAAAAACATGTGGCTTTCTAAAATTGACCGTGAAAATTATGTTTTCTTCATCGGATGAGATGTTTTCCTTCCTATGCATCATTACTTCTCATAACTGTTCAGGACTAACGAGTTATGAACCTAATTTCTATTTATGTCCTGAGTTGTATCTGGTGGTGAGAAACCCATGGAGAACCTTCTGTAGATCTGTTCAGTTGTAGAGGTTGGAGCCTGATTTTCCAGAAGCTGGGGACGACCTGAACTGGCTCCAGCAGTTCTGAAATACAGCAAAAGCAGCATGGTTTTCCTCTAACAAAAGTGGTAGATTCAAGAAGATGCAGGAATCAGGTAGGTCTCATGTTTGTTTCTTCTAGTATTAATGAACTTCACAGTCTTGCCCCATTTGCTGATTTGCTTGAAGTAAAGAGATGTTAAACGTGGGCCTTAAATTTTAGGTTTTCCCATATTTCCTGTATTTCCCAGATTTAAATCTCAGTTAATGACTTCTCCATATAGTGCGTCTCTTAAATTTCTGTCAGGGCCTGTAAATGTGCATAACTAGTCAAAAATATGTTATCTGCATTTAGTGTTGGCTTTTGGAACCCTCACTGACAAGTCACCTCACTGCTGCGTCTCAACTCACATGCATTTCTGTGTAGTGCCAGGAGAAGAATGGAAATAGCTATGAAGTAAAAGCAGATTCTGCTCCCATTAAAGGCAATGAAAACTATGCTTTTACTTCTACTTACTCATAATAGCATGGAAAAACGAAGTGGAAACAAGCACAACAAAACACCTCTGCCAGCTATCTACAAGCTAACCAAGGCTTCCACTAATGAGGTGCTCTGGCATTTTGAAAAAGACAGGTTCTTCCAGAAACGGAAAAAATATGCCGAGTTTTTCCTTCAGTTCTGAAAGGCTAGTGAGAGAGTAACAAACTGTATTTCAAAAAAGGGATAACAGTCAAACTTTTTAATGCTGTCTGTGCTATTAAATATCTACAGATGCCAATATAGTTTCTTGTCAGTTAAATGCTTTACATGTATGCTTAGCAGATGATTAAATGCTGATTCTTATATACTTCACCTAATTATCTGCTGTATTTACAGGTTCATCTAAGTGGCCATAAAATTCTGGAGAAAGTTATTAATTTCAAATCACAATAACAGTAATTTCCAGGTGAGATTTTCTAGAAGATGATTCAATACCACAGACAATCACATAGTCTATTAAATGGAACAGTATGGTTTGTGGAAAAGATAATAGTCCAGATCACGAGATAGCACCAGATTTTACATTATGATTTCCAGATGTCTTTGGGAACTTAATGCTTCCAGCATTGGTTCAAGCCTAATCTGCATGGCAGAAATGTGAGTTGTTCCAATTTTCTCTTCTCTGGGGCTGTGAGGCAACCCCAAGAGCTGTGGAGGACAGGCTGAGGTTGTTTGGCTGTGCTTTGGTAAGAATATTCACCACATTGCCAACTGATCCTGAAGCACCCAGCGATATCACATGCAGAAAATAAAAGGTTTCATCTTTGCTTAGTGGGACAGTGCTGTGCCCAGGTCTTTCTGATATGTGCCCATGGGAACTGGCTCTACACATTGGCCAAGCAGGAAATTATTTAGGGCAGCAGAGTGACTGTGGCCTCATTGTCTGTTTGATAAGTGCTTCCAGAGTGCTGGAGAAGTAGGTGAGCATTGTGCTGCCACTTTGGAGAGAGGATTTGCCTGAAGGCCAGGAGAAAGTCACACCTAGCAGCTGCCTTTGTTCATGTTCCTGTCTGGCTGCAGAAAGCTAGTGAGTCTAGCCCCATCTCCCACCTTCCCACCTCAGCTGCCCTTTCCTGGCACGCTTGCCTCCCCAGGGACAGAGCCCCTGTCCTGTCCCCAGCCCTAACCACTGGAGCACCAATGTTCCCTCTTGCCTACAACACTGAAAAGCAGTCTATCACAACTACCAGGCTTCTGTGACAACCTTGTAGTATTATTTTAAGCAGTGTGTGTCGATTCACTGGAAAGAGGATTGACCTTGCCAAATTGAGGCATCATTTACTTGCTCAGAAGCTCCTGGAGTGAGTGTCTCTGCAATGCGAAGGCAGCTCCCACTGTTTCCAGAATGCAATTTTGGAGTTCAATACATTCCCCTGAGTGTCTGCTGTAAAACAATATATTGCATCAGTTCCCTGAACCAGGGACTTGGAGAAGTCCACAGTATAGTGGTGTTGAGTGAGTGATGTAATCCTCCCTCCTGGCAGCCCCGGGGGATTTACAGCACTTTACAGAGCAGCCTAGTATCCTGCTGTGCCCAGAAGGACCGCAGATGTCCAGGAGTTTCTGGTGGGTCACATGTATCTATAAACATGACACAGTATTTACGCCACTGCTGGAGAATAGTTTGTACTGGTACAGGTGGATGGTGGTGGATAACAATGCCATGATCTTCCAGTGCATTTGCTTTTCAATTTCAGCACCATTGGGCTGAGAAGTAAAAAAGAGGTCCCCAAACAGAACGAGTGTCTGACATGACACTGAAACACAACAAAAGCTTGTGGCTAGTCTCCCTCCATGGAAATCTGTACAAAAATTGACAGTTTGGGACTTCATGAGTTTCCCTCTGGAGTCAAAAATTCAATGTGAGTGCACAAAAGAGTGGGGAGAGAGTATTTCAGCTCCTTCAACCTTGTGCACAAAACCTCCCAGGGTTTCAGATAGAATTTTAGCATTTCTTTCAGTCTTCAAATGTTGTGCTGTGCAAGGATGTGCTTATACATAATTTTGTAATTGAAATGGCATGTTTACTGTTCTATTTCATGCTTGATTGTGTTTTTTAAACACCTTTACTCACGCTGTTAGAAGTGGGATTATAATTAAAATGTCCTGTTGAACACCTTGTTCAGTTCAATGAAGGCATAATAGAAGTATAAATACTTGTTCTCGTTGACTCTATGATGTCAGCACAACAAATGCAGTAAATGTCATAAAATAAATCTCTCTTTCACCAAACCATCCATCTGAAAGGAAGGGGAAACACAGTATATGGCTGGGCAAAGAGAGGACATCTTTTTTTGGTAGAAGGAAATATTAGAGTTATTGGAATACCCGTGATATGGATGTGTTAACTAAGGCATGGAATGATTGACTGATTTAGCCAGTTACAAGCAAAAATCAGAGTGTAATTTGTTTCTCTACTCACAGCACCTTGGCCTAAAGACTATGCCAAATTTCTCCTTCTACAGTTTCCATTAGGAAATGCTGAGTCTGGTTGTAAAGTGTGAAAAAGTAATTTATATTTCTTATTATTCCTTTTTCCTTAAAATGTGCACAGATATGCAGACTCCATGTCTTTATGGTGGGGTTGAACTACAAGACGAAGTCCAAATGTTTCTAAGTCAATGTCCAGTGGTTACAGCACTTCTGCATATCTGTATAGCAATAATGATTTAATTTTTCTGTCTTTTCTCTTGTACCCTAAGTTACCACCAATGATGAGGTTGCTTAACCATTCCTGGCAAGCAATTGTTCAGTCTTAAGGAGCTTTAAATTACTTCACAGTTTGAAATTCCAGGTAAGTAGAGATATTCCAAAATTTAGCCTAATGTTTGATGCTTATTTGGGCAATTTAGTTGGATACCTTGGCTCAGTTTCCCCCTCTGAAAAACAAGAACAATGTCTGTGTTCCTTGTGCTCTATGAGTGAGGTAATAGTATTTTTAATAGACTAAGTACTAGACTCTACACTGCACATAAACCATGAGTTTTTAGGTTTGTGTCCTTTCACTGTGTCTTGGTTTTAGCTGGGATAGAGTTAATTTTCTTCCTAGTAGCTGGTACAGTGCTGTGTTTTGAATTTAATGTGAGGAAAATGCTGATAACACTCTGATGTTTTAGTTGTTGCTAAGTAGCGCTTATCCTAAGCTAAGGATTTTTCAGTTTCCCATGCTCTGCCAGCGAGCAGGTGCACAAGAAGCTGGGAGGGAGCACAGCCAGGGCAGCTGACCCGAACTAGCCCAAGGGATATTCCATACCACAGGACGTCACGCTCAGTATATAAACTGGGGGGACTTGGCCAAGAGGGGCGGATCGCTGCTCGGGCATCGGTCAGCAGGTGGTGAGCAATTGCATTGTGCATTGCTTGTCTTTTCTTGGGTTTTATTTCTCTTTTTGTCATATTCCTTTTCATTACTATTATTGCTATTGCAATAATAACAATAGCAATAATAACAATAACAACAAACCAACAATAATAATTTTATTAAATCATTATTAAATATTATTATTTTGTCATTATTTGATTTTATTTCATTTTTTTCTTAAGTAGTTCTTATTTCAACCACTACTTCTACTTTTTTTCTGATTCTCCTCCCCATCCCAATAGCAGTGGGGAGGAGTGAGCAAGCGGCTACGTGGTGCTTAGCTGCTGGCTGGGGTTAAACCATGACACACTGGCTGAAAGAGGGTTCTCAAAACCCATCCCAGGATGTATAATATTTCTGTGCCAGAGCAGGATTCACCAGTCAGTAGCTACCTTATAGGAAAAGGGATCTTTTAGATGATCTAATTTTCATATGATCTTTATGAAGCAGGCAAATAAGCAGACCCAAAGGGCGTGCAAATTGCCTTCTGTGCCCAGTTTCAGTTCCAGCAACTTTTAAGCTCAACAAAAGTTGTTCAGGCAGATGGTTCACAGGATTTGGCCTTTAGAATGAAAGCAGTGAGGAAGTGACAAAGTAAGAGAGGTTTTCTTTCTGTGACGAGGGAAGGAGATGGGTACGTAGGGCAATCCAGCCCAGCCCAGAGAAAGATTCAGCAGCAGGGATGAGGCTACTGACCACGCAGGACAAAGTGCACGTGAATGTTTTTGACAAGTGGGATTGCAACAAAACTTACTGGATTTCTTTGAATGTCTCATTGTATGTACAGGTGCAGCTCTACACACCCACACATGCTGCGTTTATTTCAGTGTGCGATCACATAAATACCTGCAGGTGTGACACTGAAGAGATACCCGTGCTGAGACATGAATATGGAGTTCCACATCTGTATTTACTGCCTGGTTCATACAATGAACTAGTGCAAGTCAGTGGGCTCTCTTTCCACCTCCTATATGCACTTTAAAACTAACACCAAAGGAAATTCCATCCTAGTAACTACATTTAACAGGATGCCAAGACACAGACCCAAAATACATGATGGGGAAGGAGTATGGAACAGCCATCATTACTTCACTGTGTTGCACATGTATATACAAAATAAGGAAGAGAGTAATTTTAGATAAAGATGGCCACATCAGTTTAGTGTATGGTAATAAACCCATGAAGTTGGAATTTATGTGTCTTTTAGGGCACCTAAAACTTCAGTTGGCCTTCAGTACAGTGGCTGGTTTCTTTCTTCTGTCACACACAGAGGTGGCTTATTGTCTATAATACTGTCAGATAGTCCATAGTACTCAGGGTGCAAATCATGGCTGCTGCAGAAATCATGGTTTTAAATTCACTGAATTGTATCCATGTAAAAGTCTCAGTCACAGCATTGCACTCATGCAGGTGGTTGCATTAAATAATAATCTGATGCTAACTACCTGGGCTACAAATGCCCTCCTCCCGGTGTCAAAAATGTAAAACAGCTACAGGATATACACTGGGCACAACATTTTGCATGTAATTGCTGCCTGTAGAGACTCAAGGTTGTGAAAATTTCTTACTTTTTATAAGGCCTTTAGTGATAACTTGTTTTCTGAAGAGAAAAATAAACCTACCAAAGTTCCTTTGAACATTTCAGCAGCCTTTCATAGCGTTAGCTGTGAAAGTAATGGTGTCACATTCCTAATAAGGTTGTATGGGAACTGTGTTTTAGGAGTCCCTGCTGCTTTCTTTGTGGAAACTATCTCAGATGCTTTGGGATTATTTGGCAGTAACTTCTTTGTGCACCATGATTTCACAGGGATCTTCTCTGTTATCTTCTGTTCAGTATATTCCTTTGAAGATGTAGGAAGAAAATGTGGAACTCGAGCATTCAGTGAAACTCTGTTTGCATCTCCATCTAGCTAAAGACAGGGAATGGGTTCTCCTGTGGCAGAAAATGTGGAGGAGCCACAGTGCTCAAAATTCAGCTAAAATTTTAGGTAGTGCTGTCCAAGCAAGTGAATAATGAGAATGTGATCAGTGAAGACTTCATAGAAAGCAAAGGTGGAAAGAAAGCAGAATTTTTTGTTTCTGATCTGAATTTCACTGCCTTTATGCAGAGGGACCATGGCTCTGTGGCTCACTATAGCAAGCGTGCTCTGCGCAGTGGCACAGAGAAAGGGACCAGAAGCAGCTGGAGCAGTGGAAGAAATAACACTGTGCTAATGAAGTTTCATCCAGGCAAATTTACCTCCCTCAAAATTAGCCTGGGTATCTCTCCATGACACATTTGTTTTAGAATCACAGCATGTTGCAATTATTAGGGTCTGGCAAGCTCCTGGGTAGGAACTGTGTCCAAGAGCCTTTATTTCATCTACTCCAATTGAGAAGAGTGTGGCAGTTTCTTTTGGTTGAGACTTCTCTATAACGATCTGAGCTTTAGTCACTGTGAGGCTAGCCCACTGCATAGCATTCAGTTGGTGTTACAACCAGAGACAACTTAGCTCCAAAAGTGAGTGCAGATCGTATCTACTTATTAAGTAAAGGGGCATGTGGAGAGCCCATTACTCAGTAATTGGTGCAAGCTGCCAGTTAGCATTCAGCAGGACTTGCAGCATTTGCATAGATCTTACAGTCCAGAATAGCCCGGGATTGTTCTTGCCTTATTTGCTGCCGCTGTAATCAGATGGTGGCTCTCTGCTTCGCAGAGCTACCAAAAACAGCTCTATCGGACTGAAAGGCACCTGGAAGTACAGGATGTCCCCAAGGAATTCAGACGGAGGGACATGCAGGTCCGAGAGACTTTGTGGCTAAGGTTGTCCCCAAGTGACTGCTACTTTTGTGGGCTTGCAGGTTTCTCCCCCAACCGTGGGAAAGGCAAATGATGCATGGAATTTGTGGTAGATGGTACAAATGACTGCTTGACTATATAAAACCTTAAATAGGTCTTTAGAGATGGGACCCTCAAGTGTTGTGTGGCTCTATGGATCACACAAACAGCACTTGGGTACGGGGAGTCTAGAGAGACAATGTGGGAAGTCTTTACTGAAAAGAATGCATAGACACTTAGACAAAAATATAGCTATGTGAGGTACATGCCTCTTGCAGCCTTGACCCGGGGAAACCTTTTGTTCTCTCGGTACCAACTGCTGTTTCTGTTCACAAAGATGCAAAATCAGCCAGCTCTGCAGGGTTTTAGGTGGGAGCACACTGATACCCTTGCCAGGCTTGAGGAGCTGGTGGGCCCAAGCAGCAGCAGCAGCAGCCCGCTACACTGCCCGGGGAGCACATCAGACTCAGCATACGCAAGGGGGCACAGAGAGGCTCTTTACACATTATTATGCTCTGCAATATCATATATTTTTAGCAAATTTACAGCATAGAGCAGCACTGGCTTCATAAGGTTGACAGAGCGGTTAAATGTATGCAGACAAGGTGCTCTCGCCAACCAAGTGGGCTTTGTTAACACCTGTAAAGTTAAAAGCCTGTCTTTACACCGTATTCGAGAAAGCAAGTGACACAGTGTAAGGCGGTGGGAGTAACACCACAGCCCCGCGGCTCACCCACTGGTGAGACTGCGACAGGCAGGTCCGAGGCCCCTCGGCTCGGGCAGGGCCCTCCGTGCCGCCGGGGCAGGGCCCTCCCTCCGTGCCGCCGGGGCCGGGCCCTCCGTGCCGCCGGGGCAGGGCCCTCCCTCCGTGCCGCCGGGGCCGGGCCCTCCGTGCCGCCGGGGCCGGGCCCTCCCTCCGTGCCGCCGGGGCCGGGCCCTCCGTGCCGCCGGGGCCGGGCCCTCCCTCCGTGCCGCCGCGGCCGCCGCCGCTGGGCCCCCGCGACGGGCGGCGGCGGCGGGCGCGCTTCGCCGCAGTGCCCGGCAGGTGGCGCCCTTGATCGCCGAGTGGCGGGCGGGCGGGCGGGCCCGAGAAACACATAGTTTCCCACCACCACCACCCCCCGTCCTTTAATTTAGGAAGTATTATAACTAAAGTGTTTTCAACTTATTATTATGCATGAGTAAAAATTCCATGAATGTGTAACATTTTCGCCCGTATTTCCCTCTTTTATAACATCATTTAAATTCCTCATTAATAATTTAGAAATGTTCTGGATTTTAATCACTTTTCTCATCACGACGGTATCTATCCGAGGGAGAGCTCTCCTCCCCTACCTGAAGGTGACATGGAGGAAGGGCCTGCCAGACCAGGGGCAGGGGAAAGGGCGGGTGCTGCCCTGCCCCGGTGTCCTGCCTGGCTGAGGGGTATTTTGTTCATTAATTAAATATCCCGAGTTGACCAAGCCTGAGGTTTGCGTAGGTCACTGTTAGTAATTTTTTTTTTTTTTTTTTTTTGCATCTGAGTTTAATTATGGTGGTATTTGTTTGATAGCTTGTTACTGTAAATAAAAGAGATAAAAGCAGCCCTTCACTCGAGTAGCTCTAGAGCTGTGAA